ATGGTGATAAGAATTGCTCTGATACCATAAAAGAGTTTATGGTGTGAATTTCTGAATGAATTTCTATTGAACCCGAAAACCATTTAAATAGGGAATGATACAACATAATAAAAGGAAACAATATATACACCAAATCAATCACAATAAATGATAATCACAGAAAATCAGCCGAGTATCTCGGCTGATTATATGCATTGCTAAGACACTCATCATATCCAATGAACACAAACAAAATGTACGCAGGAGTTCCATGAAGAATTCAATGTTATCTTACAATTTGTTTAGGTTAAGTATTAGTCATATCATTTATTTATACAAATAAACATATGTTTTGGTGAATTACTGGAGAGATATTGAACAAGAAAAACGAGAAAATGACAAAACACAACACTTCATTTGAGTTCAAGGGGAGAGTGGCAATATTATTGTTATGTTATTATCTATACTTTCTTCACGAGTTCCTATATTTAAAGTGGTATCAGTTAAATTGACTAGGCCTGGATTAGTACATCATGTTGCTGTATAAAGATGCAAAATAAATTGTACAAAATGGTGCATATCACTGTATCTAATTTCTTTTAACTACGGAAAGGAAGAAAAAAATATTTTTGTCTTCCACTTTGGAAGGAAAGAATATGTGAGCCAGTTAGTTGTTTTTTATTAAAATGATATTCTTGATTATCTACAAAAATATTAGATATTTTGTCACCCCAACATGGAACTGATTTATAATCTAAGAATCGACTGAAGAGTGCAACTTTATTTACCTTTATAGAATCATGACAAAACCAAATAATTATTTCATATTAGTCGCTCTTAAATTTCTTCATCACCATCAAGTTACAATATTTCTATACACAGAATTTCTTGATCAAAGATCGAATATTAGTTACGAACATATAAAAAAGGACTAGAACTTTACACAGCCAACTGAAAGACTGTAGCTTCTAAAAAAATGACATCATGTCATACTGGAAAATAAATGAACATTGTTATACCTGAAACATAATACCGATGAATGCCCACAACTTGAACATGTGGCAAGGGACAGCAATACACAGCTGTTTGACAAACAGAAACCACAGTCATGAAGCCAAACCCAGAATAAAATATTACTAAGTTGCATGAATCTGAAACGACAACAGAAGGAGAAATAATATAATAATACCTCGTGAAAAATAGCTGACACGAGGAAGGCAATCAAAACTGCAACTACCTGCATAAGAGACCAACGGGCATTCAGAAACAAAAAGTTGCAAAAAAGATTCAAACAAACAGTGCAAAACATCGCCAGAGCATAACATCATCTGCCTGCAGTAAAGAGCTCAAACTGGTAAAGCAGCTTCGTTTATTTCTTACTATTATGGAAAGAAGAATGCTATGACTTAAAAGAGTGGCTAAACTCAAAAGACTGAATCTGGCCCATGAGTGGAGATAACGAACTTATATTCAAGAACTTGTGGAATAGAAATATGTGCACCATGAACCAACTTCATCAGCTTTTTCTTCGCATTTGAACAAATTGAGCACATAGCACGAAAATTTACGTTCTTTCGATTCAACTTAACCACCTAAATCAATTTTTACAATGATAAAGAGGTATTAAGTATCTGATTTATCAACGAAGCAAATATAAATCATAGCACCTAAATCAGAAAATGAGCAAGAAAAATAAAATGTAATCCTAAAAGACCTCTAGAGATTGTATTAGACCGCTGACCAGGTCTCTCCTGCCATGACCAGAAGTCTACCAAAGAACGAGTTAAAATTCAAAACGGCTGAAAATATCGGAAAAAATATGAGAAAATACCTTTGGTATCCCATTTCGCAAGCATGGGAAGTATATATGGCGGACCATCCATTTATGGACTGGCTGCAACAGAAGAAATTTTAATTTCTCAGGAACACAGCACCGTGGCACGTGTTGAGGACATGAAATGACATTTCTGAATCAACACCCTTAGTAAAAGCTAACAGCGCATGCCCTTATCTTCGATTCACATGTTATATTATCTATTTCTCATCCCTACACTTCCCCCAAACCAGG